CTCATCAAAACTAGGGGGGCAAGGGAAACTTTGAACTGATCTTTGATGGCAGTGAAAGAGTGGATGTGAGTGGCCAAGCTAAAATGAAAATCTGATGAAAAGGTTGCTAGTTGAAGGTTTAGTTCTTCAGGTTGCATTGGATTGGGCTGCACTACTTCTATTCACAACAAACAGCAGAAGTTCAGTTATAAACATTCTTTGTGAAATGAAAGGAAGTGTTTCTGGCTCTTTTCACACGTTTCTTCTATTTAATTACTGAATTCTTTAAAAAAACACCCTCTTGTGGCGATCACCCACGTCACTCATGCCATTCATATTCATGAGCTGATTTGCACGTACCTATGAGGGGACTGGAGAGGCGGAGTCAGCAGCTACATGAGGCTTGGCAGGAGAAGGAGGAGTCAGATAGGGTTACAGTGGACCATTGACTTACAGATGGCTTGACTTACAGGCTTTTTGAGTTACAGACTTCTCTGGCCGCAAAATTTAGGTTTGACTTGCAGCCTGAGAATTGACTTACAGACCAGAAAAAAACCAAAATGGAACAAAAACGGCCTGTTACGGGATTAACCGGTTTTCAATGCACTGTAGGTCAATGGAGACTTGACTTACAGACTTTTTGACTTGAGAACCGCCTTCCAATATGGATTAAGTTCTCAAGTCAAGACCCCACTGTAGTTAGTAAGAGAGAGGGGGAACAGATACTGAGAGAGATAGAGTCGGTTAGGAGAATAGGTAGAGAAGTTGATAATGATATAGCAAGAGAAAAGAAGTACGTACTGAGAGAACTGTTGATGAATTGCTTATGTATAATATGTACCTGAATAACTTCTGTTAGTATTCAATCTGCTTCACTCCAATAAATGAAAGTTCTGTTTCTGTTCACAAGACAAGTCTTCTGACAAACGTCATTGTTATGTTCACCCCGTGCCTGTTTCTTTTTCTCAACCCAAAGGACTCACGCTGGAGACATTCCCTCTTTCTTTCGCTGCCACCAGTGGATTTCTTTATCCACGCTTTAAAGGACTTTAGTCTGACACTGGCTGCCAACAACAGAACTTGTTTATTAAAAGGTATTAGGGTAATTAGTGTAATTCAGGATCACTGATGTTCTTTATTCATTTCATAGAATCAAAATCATTGAAATATCATATATTCTGCCACACATTCAATCACCTCCTGTTTTATTTATTCACTTTAACCAGTTTATCTTTACTAGTTTCAGTTCTCACTCTTTCTCTATTTGTCTCTCTCTGCAAACCTCTCTTCCTCATCTCACTCTCTCTCTCTGACTTAACTCACTCTCTGCCTCCACCCCTCCTGTCCTCTCATAGGCTTATGCAAATGAGCTCCAGCTATGAGTGACAGGTGTGATGTGGGGCATCTGTCACAGTCATTTATATTGTGGATTGAGGTAATCCACTGGTGGGAGCAAGAAGAAAATGAGACGTGAGCCTTTGTAGGGAAAGACAATCAGGGGCCACAAGGGCAAATGTCACACCTCTAGTTTATGATTGTTTCTGTACCCACAATTCAAAAAGCCAGGAAATGGCCCAATAATGCTGCATTATTTTATGCTCACATTGACAGCAGGAAAAAGGATGCTAAGCTGTATATCTATATATAACAAAGGGCAATCTGAATGTTGAGAACAACAATGGCAGCTGTCAAAATGGTCTACATCAGTGGTGTCGAACTGTGGCCCTCCAGATGTTCTTGGCCTTCAACTCCCAGAAATCCTGGCCAGCAGAGATGGTGGTGAAGGCTTCTGGGAGTTGAAGTCCAAGAACATCTGGAGGGCCACAGTTCGACACCACTGGTCTACATGATACCCTCTTCTACTCACTACCATTCACACCTGTTTAAAAATAGCCCTGACAATTGCTTTATGTTTAGGTGAAAAGTGATTGACTGATGAAAAAAGGAGTCACCTACTGGGATTTTCCCTTATGTGGTGTTACCTTGTGAATGATGGTGGTGCTGGGGGGGCACCTGTTCACCAATTTGACTACTAGCCTGTGGAATATCTCAAGGTTCCATGATTCCCCGCACTATTTCACATATATTTGAAAAACTGAAAGAAGCTGTCCAGAATGTTGTGGTCTGGTTCCAACAATGTGTTGATGACACCCAAATCCACCTTAGGATCTTCCAGGAGACTGGTACTCTCTTAGTTAAATTTTTGCTAATTAAAAAAACACCTTGCAGTCATTGTATGTTTTGTTTCAATTTAAACATTCAGTGTTAAAAACAACAGTCTTCTTGAATGAACATCAAATCAAGGACATAAACCTTTTCCTCGGCCTTGAACAAATGAGTTCTCAACTCAGATGACTGAACTATCACCACTCCTTTTGATGAGGTTAGTGCAGAAGAATAGGCAAATGTTTTCAGACCTTCAGGGCAACTTTATCTACCTTCTAGGCATGTCAGAAAGATTCCCGTGCTGCAAATATCAGTCTACTCACAAATCTACAAATGTTCATTTTTAAGGAATGGTACACACCTACTAACCAAGATTGTCAGATCAGTTAACAAAATCTTATAACTTGTTGACATACAGCACTTGTTCAAGTGACATGATCACTGGGATTAAGTTATAGATGTATAATCCAAAGAAAGATGCATTGCATCTGTTTATGAGTATTTTTGAGAAACACAAAATTTCTGGTTGTTTTAATGTGTTTTATAACAGGCCAGGCAACCTCTGAGGGGCAAGGAGACCTTGGTTCACACACCTGGATGTTTGGTGGGCTGCACCACAGCCTCTCAATTTTTCACCTCTCCCGTGAACCTTGGGATAACCATTTGCCATTTAAATGCAACACATTGTACTCTGACTAGTCAGAAATAGGAAATGGCAAGCTGGTCACTTCCAATTTCTAAAAAAGGCTAAATCTAGATTAAATGAGGCCTGAAGGCAAAACTACATTTAAATACTGTATTTCATCCCTTATAAATTCTACAACCTAACGTGACATGATGTTGGTTTGCAAGATTTGAGCAGAGCTCTTAATGATATGATATTCTGGAAGTCATATAAAGTGAGAAAGGTGGGGGGGGGAATTGGGTTTCTACCTCTGTTCTATCTTCCTAACCCTCAACTCATTGCCCTCTCTTCCTGCTGCAGCTGTCACTGGCTGCTGTTGCGGCTGTCTCGTGAATAAACCAGGTAAACTTACTTGTGAGTAAACTGAGTAAAACCTACTTTGAGATCATCCTCTTTAACAAATCAAAAAACCAGTATTTAATGAGTGGGCTTCTGAATATTATTCAATTTTTAAAAAATTCTTTTTAAATACTTGTGAGTAAAATGGGTAAGCTAACTCCTGAGTAAACCAGGCAAGCTTATGAGTAAACAAGGTAAACATACTCATGTGTAAAAGGGGTAAAACTTTCTTTGAGATCACTTCCAGCAACAAAGCAAAAAACAAACAAACAAAAAACAGTAATATCACAGTGAGCTGAATATTATCTATTTTTCAAAAATATCTTTTAAATTTAAAGCATTTTCACAGGCTGGAGTTAGGTTTGGCAAGGAAGAAGTTAAATGCTGTCTTTCACATTGAATGCCATGGCAGGGTTAAAAGTGACTTCTGGCATCTGCCCCGTATAGCTGCCTGGCTGACTCAAGACACGTTATGATTGTTCAGAATGCTATGCTATGGAAATAGTTCAGTCTGTTAGAATGTTCAAAGCTATAAAAAAGTCAGTGATTTTAGAGCTTTTCAGGCTTCAAAAACAATAATTGCAGACTATGTTATATAGCCTTGAATGGCTCAATTTCTGAGGAAGGAAAAAAAGGACCTTAAAAAGATAAGTCTTTTTTTCAGGTACGTACATTTTGTCTTATCAATGAATTTCATCTGTTTTCAATCAGCTGGAGCTCCAGGTTGGTTGTTTCTGCAAGGGGGTAAAGCAGGGTTACTTTATTTTAAAAAAATCATAACTTGAAGATCCTTTGCCCAAAGCTCCTCGAATTTGGCCCAGAGCATAAGCAGACTTTTTTCTACATTTGTGTCAGTCTTGGTGCTGATCTAAGATCCAGTTTCATAATTCTAAATGTTTGTTTGGGGCATCCTTATTTTTTGACTTGGGTTATGAAATGCTTTCTGCTCCTAAGAGCACAATATATGGCTGCTTGCTTGTACAGTTGTATTTACAGGTAAGGAGGCATGCTCATTTACAACAGAAGTCACGAATACAGTGCGTAAGTATCTAGAGCTGAGTGTAAAATATAAAAGTAGCAGTCCCTAATAAATAAATTGTGTACATGTTGATCAAAACATTTGTGAAAGGAGATAGGAATGAATCATCCCTCCACTGCCAGTTCCAGTTAACTGACTGCAACCTTGAGAATAATTTGTCTTTCTCCACATCATATGCTCCAATTATATGCATGTCATTTATGGCTATTGACCTCCAGGCATCCCTTAAGACATTTTCTTTGCAGGTAGAACCATATTGCCTGGATTTGTGCTGGCCAAAGGTGGGGAATCAACCTGCAGATGTTGCTGGATTACAGCTCCTATAACCCCTGACCCCTGACTATGGGTCCAACATCATCTGGTGGTCCATGAGTTCTCAGCTCTGATAGGAAGAGATTTCTGTGAGGCAGGTGGGCATATGGGGCACTCTTTTAGACTAGATGGTGTTATGGTCCCTTTCTAAGAAAATGATTCAATAGTTCATTATGATAGACCACAATCCTGATTTTTTCCCCCTTCAGGTTAGTTGCAACAGCAGAATGTTTGCTCAGCTCACAGTTAACTTATTAATTTATCCACAAAATGTAAAACGCAAGAAATAGCAAATAATATGTGACAGCATGAGAATGAAGACACACATTTCCACAAATAAGCACAAACCCAATTTTATTCAACTGCAGTGCTGAAGGGAATGTTGGTGTGTATTTTTCCTCCCGGGTCAAGCATTCCAGGTACCATATGGAATTTATAACACAGACAATAATTTAAAAAAAAACACACACAAAAATACTATTGCGTTCTTAATTAAATATGTATTTGGCAAGAATTGTTCAAATATTTTGTACAAAACCAATTTTTGCTTGCAAATTTGTAAAACTCTCAATTTTCTCATGAACCAAACTGAATACATAACATTTCAATATCTATGGCATCTGCCTCTTTGCACATACACAAAAATCAACCCCAGCCTGGATAAAGACTCTTACCAGTTTTAGTGATATGTAATTACACAACAGGGACATAAAACAGCAAGGGGTTTTATCCGTTTATGTGCGATACTGTTAAGCTGTGTCTATTAAAAGGTTAAAATGTTTGCAGCAAACACCTGTGGACTCATTATCTTAAGAAACAGTCACTGGACAGAGCACAAATGGTATTTAGATAGATGCTGGTGGTAGTGGTGGATTATGACAACAATGGCAGAGAAGTTGCAAGCAGTTAATCTTCATTTCCACTGAGGTCAGCTCAAGCTGATTCCATGGTCAGGAGTGAGCAATGGGAAGACACCTCTCACCATTTTCAGCAGCTTCACTACTTCTTTTCTTCCAGCCAAAGCACCAATAATGCTGTATTTGGTCTAGTGGTCATGTACTTTGGCCACACTGTCCTTTTATTATGAATATTTTTTTAAAAAAGGAAGTTCTGCTGAGGGGGACGTTTAAGTCCAGTTTGCCAAATGATGAGAAGTTAATGAAAGCAATGTTCTTTTAAAATAGCAATGCGGAAGATGATGTCAGACCAAAGGGTAAAAAGCAAAGGGAAATAAGTGTTTTGCAGGACCCCTGAAATGAAGTCCAATGTGCATATATTTTTCTTCTTTAAAAAAAATCCACCAAAAACACACGTCTCCAGTTATAGTACTTCCAGTTTAAATGTAATCTCAGCAGTGAGAGTAACTTTAGTTACAATCATATACAAAGTCATAGTTGCTTGGTTCCTTTGGAATTGGTGGTGGAGCATCAGGAATCTGTATGTTCTCTAGGTCCAGGAGGCGCAGTTTTATCTCCATACTGAGTAGAGTGTCCAAATCATTGCGTGTCAGTTCACTCATCATGTCCTTTCCAAGAAGAGCATTTAGACCATCTGTCCACACACAATACTGGGGGAGGGGGAGTGAGAGAGGAACAGGGAGTGAGAGAGAGCTGCATTAACTTGGCTTTCACAAATATATGCATCAACAAATCCATGGCATCTCTAGTATGCCCTGCCATTTCAGACTCTGTGTGTGTGTGTGTGTTCATGTGTGCGTGCACGGGCACACACACACATATTGTCTGAAATGGCAGGGCATTTTTATAATAATTTTTCACGTTTGAAGTTAAATTAAGAACTGTTAGTTAAAATAAAAACCTGCCTTATCTTGAACATGTTGCTATACAGCAATGACTCAGCCCAGGACAGTTCTGGGTGCTCACAGAAGGAGAGAGAAGGAGAGAGGGAACACAAGTCACCTGTGTTTAGAGTCCAAAGTAGCAATACACATATCTCTGATCTGGTGAAGCATGTGAACTGTACTTACATGTGGAGCACATGTATTGTTCTCGGGAGGGGAAAGATGTCTAAATATATGTATAAAAAAAGGGAGCACCACTTGTGTAAAATGCTGAAAGTTGTCCTCAAATAACCATGAGGCTTAACAATTCTATGAATGTTGATATATCATCACATGGGAGAAGAAAAACTGCACCTGTTCTCTGATGATTCTTGCAATACTAGAGGGAAGAGAAAGGAACTGTATTCCACATTCAGGATGGAGTAATACTACAAACACAACCTTCACTCCCCATTTGGCCATTTAGTTAAGGGCTGCTTTCCTTCACTATGAACTTGTTTCAGTTTTGCCTACATCCTTAACCATCAAAAGCATGGGACAAATGTCTTGCAAGATCATGTTCATGAAAAGAAACAGAAATCTGATGTTCAGAAAGAAATAGAAACCTGATGGTGCAGGTCATCAAGACCTGTGTCATTTTTCTCACAGCCATCCCTGCCTACATACTTGTGTGTGTATGGAAGCAGTCTTGGTTTTGTTAATGAACACAAAAGGGAAGCACATACCAACTCATGCTATTGCTAAAGAAGAATACCACATCTACATCTATCAGCACACTATGTATTGTCACCCACATGGGAAATGTGGAATCTTGCCCCTATCCCTTAAGAGCTAGAATTATGTCAATTTAGCATCTTTAAAAACTGCATTCTGGATGCTGGATTTAGCTATAAAGATCTAAATTCCCCTATCTCTTAAAGAAATGCAGAGAAAATGCCATGATTTCCTGAAGCTGACAGTTCCAGATAAACATGGGCTAAATAAGTGTTTTAAATCAGCATCAGTCCTCAGGGACTCTATGAACAACAGTCAAATCCTATTTAATCAACCACTTGAATTTGTTACTAAAAGCCATTTACGCAACTGTGAACAAAAGGCCTTGAATGGTATGGTCTAAAAATAAAGATTTCAATCACATTGGTTTGTGTCCTAGTTTACAAGTGGAAATTGAATCAATGATAGCAGTATTTTTATTATATAAAGGTTTATCTTGGATTCCATACCAAAGGATGGATTTTAAATTTAGCTGGCCATGTGCTAACAAAATAGTTCTCAGCTTAAAAATAGCAAGAGCTCACTATATGCAGACCAGGTTTTTTTTTAAAAAAGAAGGGAAAATGGAAGACCTATTATGCAAAGAACAAGAGGGAGGGAAAGGAAAAAAAGACTGAGTAGAACAGAGAGGATGAGTTGGGGGCTGTATCGGGGTTTTATCACCAGATACCACATCAATTTTTTTACTGGGTTCTGCATGTATATTGCTGAAATTGACAGTTTGGCAGCTTATGAGGGGGACAATAGAGTATAGTCTGAGCCCCCCCCCAATACACAGCCAATGGGCTGCTTCTATTCTGAGGTGAACCATCCACCCTGCTGGCCAACATTCTTTTTACCTGAGCTAGCCAATGTTATCTGAGGATGCCACTAGAATCCTACAGACTAGCAGTTCAAGGGTTTTTTGTTCTTCGTACTGAGGCCTACTTGTTAGAGTGGCTCAGATATTCATGACTGCCATGGCAACTGTGGGACTTTTCTGCTGCTCAGTAGGGTAGGCAGGTATTAATTTATTTTAGTTAGAATATTTTTACCTACCTTTCTCCTTAAAAAGGACCCAAGGCAGCTTACATAATTGAAAGACATTTAAAGCTGAAAACAATGAGTATAAATGGTGGCTTACATAATTAAAAGGCAGTATTTAAAGCTAAGAACAATGAGTATAAAAAGGCAGCTTACATCATTAAAATATAATATTAAAGCTAAAAACAAGTATACAAATATTAAAAAGGAACAAACAAATATCACTCTGAGAGATGGAAAACATCAGCAATACTAAAAACACAGTCAAAGTAGTAATGCATAACAATCCATCTAAAAATCACAGTAGGTAGCCAGTATGACAGTGATCTGATTGTAGGGGAACTTAATGTAGCTGTCATTGATAAATACTTTCATAGATAAATTGTCACCAGGCTACATTTAGATTCAGCAGTATCCCACATCTTCACAAGAGAGAGCGGTCACCACTAGAAGACTGCTGGATACATATGGGTTTCTAATACAAGGTCATTGTTTGAATTCTTCTGAACTCTGCTTTGATTTTGGATCACTAAGCCAGAGCTTTAGCCAGGAACACCTCTGCCTGATCAATGTAGGTGTATCAACAATGCTTATTCCTGGAGAAGGCAACTCTGGCCAGTGAGACAGACACTTTAATTACACAATGCAATTTGAAGAGTATTTGGAAAAACTATTGCTCGAGAATGCAATAGCTCCATTATAAACTGGGAGTGTGTACAAGGAGCATGTAAACCTCTTGTGAAAATGGCTGTATTGGCTTCCCATTTCTTTTGAGCCTGATTCAAAATGCCGTTGATGACATTCAAGGATCTGAATGTCCTAGGACCAGAATACCAAGGCTATCCCTTTCTCCTGCTTGTTTTCAGCAGCCTTTTAAATATCCAAACAATCCCAGATATGTCCTTAAATTTGCGAATAAGGAGAAAATCATTTTAGCAACTCAGTCTGGCTTGTGAATTCCCTTATGAAGGAAGACTGCTTCACTTCCTCCTTGATAATTTTCTGGAAACTTTCTTTTCATGAGGGGCTTTGATATGGGATTTTAACCTATTGTTTCCAACACATATCTATTTTTGAATCTTTTAATATGACAGGATGTTTCAAAGGTCACACTATTTTTTTTGAAAATATTGTTGCATTGAAGTTCTAAGAGAAAGGGCAAGGTATAAATATTTTAAAACTTATCCAACTGTGAATTTTGGGCTTAAAATCAGGATGCACTATGGGGTCTCTTTGTCCCAATTAAAATCCTGTGAAAATCAGTGGGATACACTTAAGTTCTGACTTACCAAAGCCCATTGATTCAGTAGGTCTACTAACAATTAGATTTCAGACATATCTCTGATTTCCTTCCTTCTTCTCTTTGTGAAGATATATTAACTTCAGGTCCATATTACTTCAGTTTGTTGTCAACTATTATAGGTGGGACTCAGCAAAATTGTACCACAAAAATGAGTATCAGTTAACTAGCATTTTGGAGATCTCTGAAAACTCCACCTCTTGTTGGTTTTGTGATTCACCTAGTCATCATCTCCTGCAAATGATGTTAATATATTCCTGGTTGATTCTGATGGAATACTCACCAGCTGAAGTATTCAACCCAGCCACAAGACAGCAAGAATACAAGCCCCCCCTTTTTTGCTTGGGATTTCAATGTGGTGATGGAGTGATGGACTAGGACTCTGGAGACCAGGGTTTGATTCCCCACTCAGCCATGGAAGTTCACTGGGGAAATGGAACTGGTAAAACCACTCCTTAAATATCTCACTTACCTTGAAAGTTTTATTAGGGTTTCTGTAAGTCAATTGTGACTTGATAGCAAATAACTACCTAATTTTCTCTACCTAATTTTCTTCTTAACATTCAAACAAATTTACCTCATGCTTGTCAGGAGCAATGAAATTTAGTTGTCCATTTGAATCAAACAATATAGAGAAAGCTAGCTCAAGCACCTCCTGAAAAGAATGAATGAAAAGCATATATCATTGGACTTGGCTATGATTATTTAACAGTTCTATAGTCACAAATAATATTAAACCATAGCTCAACACCACATGAACAAGTAGCAGCAGGATTGAAAGGCAGCATATGTTGTTTTTTTTAAAAAAAGAATAATCAATTACCTTATTTTTCGCTGCATAAGATGCACTTCCCCCCAAAAAAAGTGTGTGGGGGAAAAGTGTGTGCGTCTTATGGAGTGAATATACTTCTGCAAAGGCAGATGTCAGAGGAAAGCCATCGGAGACCTCCTGGGGGTCCCCCGCCACTGCCACGATCGGACCCCCAGGAGGTTTCAAAGGGCTTTCCCCCAACATCGGAGGGAGCCCTTGCAGACCTCCGAAGGCAAAAAGGCAGGGGAAAAGGATGGGAGATTTGACTCTTCCGTCTTTTCCCCCTGCCCTTTTGCCTTCGCGGCAGTGGGGGACCCCCAGGAGGTCTCTGATGGCTTCCTCCAAGAAAGATTCAATGTACTGTATCTTTCACTCCATAAATAGGTACGTCTTATAGTCAGGTGCATCTTATGGAGTGAAAAATACGGTAAAACAATTTGTTGAAGATGTAAAACTGTGATATATACATATTAAAAACTTTAATTTAAAAACTGATTTTTTTTAAAAAAAAAACCTCCCCATCTCAATTGCCTCCTGGCTCTCCAAAAGTCTCTCTAAAGAGATACATTTTCAACTGACAGCAGAAGGAAAGGAGGGAATGGGCTAACTGCACCTCCCAAAGGAGGGAGTTTCATAATCTGGGAGCAGTCTCAGAAAGAGTTCTCTCTCAGGCCTGCACCAGACATGCTTGTGAGAGTGGTGGGACTGAGAGAAGGCACTTCCTTGAGGGTTTTAATAGATACAGTATGGGGGTTCAAACAAGGAGATGAGATTCTTCCCTCTCTTCCTGAGGTATCTCTACAGGAGAGACTTGCAGTACCACTTCCTATTTTAAACTAACAACTGTATGATACTACACCTAAAAAGGATAAATGTTGGTTCATTCAAACGGTGGGTTGTAATGTGGATGGAAAGCCATGCTACATTATCAATTACATTGATGAAATGAATTTTAGTCCATTAAGTCCTATGCTATGATGTTTTAGTCTTTAAGGTATTACAAGAGCTTACTTTCTGCAGTGCAGCAAATTCATGGGTTGCTTTTGTTTTAGCTCACAAGATGACCCTGCCACATGTACTAAAGAAGAATTAGAAACCAGGTTTAAACCATGGTTAATAATCATAATCACTTTCAACAGATCATAGTCTAAACTAACCAAAGATCCTAAATTGGACATAAGGAGAGTCTATATTTAGTTTATAAGAATCAACTACTTCTAATGCCTTTTGCTTGATCATCCTGAGTGAGGACAGGGAAGTAGTAGTGTATGTGAACCCAAGGGTATTTTCTACTTGTTCCCATTTAACTATTGTTAAGTGTGAACTAAGCCGTGGTCTCAGCATTCTGTGAGATCAACTTCTTAACTGGTTCCCGTGTTAGTTTACTGAAGCAAAAAGAACAGAGACCCTTATAGTACTTTAACAAGATGTTAGTTTACTGAAGCAAAAAGAACAGAGAACCTTATACTGTAGTACTTTAACAAGACTATGAAATGTAAGTTATTTCATAGTACACAGGTATTGTATTTGTGTGTAATTTTCTACAGTGTCATTAGTTTCTTTGGGCTTCATTGTGGAATGAGAAGCAGGGCACATCATTTCTGACAATGATAAAGTGGATTCCAGCTCACAAGAACTTACATCATAATAAATGTTTTGGTGGTTATGGTATTATAAAATTCTTTATTATCTCTGCAGTGCAGTAAATCCAAAGGTTGCTATGATTTTGGCTAATAAATCCCACAAGAAATTGAATGACCCTGCTGCAATTTTCACCTCTACTAAAGAAGGCTAATTTGGAGTTTTATCTCATGCCAGGCAAGCCCAGGGGAGTTAAGAGACACCGCACAACTGTTATGGAAATACTTGCTGGACAACAGACCTAAATACAAGGAGCGATGGTCTTGTGATGTGAATGTGGGGAGAGCAGTGGAAATCTAATTTTAGCTGTGGTTAAGATGGTTATATTTCTAAAATCCAGCAAGGGAGAATTCTGTAGAACTTACCAGCAGCGATTATGGCTCTTGCTTGATCCTGCTGATGCACTATCAATTTGCTCAGAGCTAAGGCAGTCATTTTCTCTCAGCTCTCATATATTAAAAGTAATGGTGCCATTAAAGGGCCAAATTTATCTCTGTTCTCACAAATCTGGCATCATTTCTTTGTGCAGTGGTGCAAATTACTGAGACTTTAAAAATGGCAGGCTATGAACATAAGCCATGGAAACAAAATATATTACTGCAAAAACAGAAAGAGTCTGAACACATAAAGAATTTCTTCAATGCTAATGATCGTGATAGGAAAGCTGGCACCCAAATACCTTTGTAGTTGATTGTCAAGAGAGAATTCTTTTTCCAGCATATTATAACTTACAATTTGGATACTTTTTATTGTTAAAGTGATGAAGATGAAATTAAAAATACAGTGGTGCCTTGACTTACAACTGTCTTGTCTTGCAATCAATTTGAATTACAACCAACTCCGGTCGCAACATTTTGCTTTGACTTGCAACCGGTGCTTTAAGATGCAAGCAGAATTGAGGTATTAAAATAAGTGAATGATAAGATGGTACATGTATAAGGTATGTATGTAACTGGATGCACTATTTGGGTGGGCCTGATGGCCAAATTTGCATGTAAGATCAAGTATGGCAAAATTTAAAAAGAAAGAGAAAAATCAAAACCAGAGAGCAACTTCCGGGGTTGACTTTCTTTGTGGGGGGCGGGGGAACTACAGCTTCAATTTCCCTAAAGCAAAATCCACTCCTCCCGGAATAAAGCATTCCACTCCATTCCTTCCATTCCTTTTTCCTTTTCTTTCTTTGACTTGTGAAGATCTGGTATGTCCTGCTTTCCATGCCTTAGGAGAGGGTCAAATGGAGGCTGCATTTTGTCATTTTCTGACATAAAAAGACTATTAAAAAAAGTTCTGATGCCTCAGAATAGGGTCCATTAAAAAAAAGTTACCTAACTATTACATGTGTTTGAAAAATCAGGAGAATGGAACTCAGTGGTGCTATGAGAAACCTTAGATCCCTCCTTCTCCAGTGTTTTCAGATCTGGCACTAATTACACAATTTTGATATATGTCTTCTGACATACAAAAGGCTTATTGGCAAAAAAAAGTGCAATGCTAGTACAAGTCTGAAACAAACAGAAATCCTTATTTCAACATACAGAATAGACTTTTAAGCAGATGCAGTTCATGTATTCTGGAACTGTCCATTTTTTTCTGGTGCTGAATATTATATTTATCAGGCTAAGCACACTGTGAGGGGGATGCTCTGGCTATCCTTAGAGGGACATTTGCCTCAGACCTGCATCCATGGTGTACCTGATGGTGTGGAAGACAGGAGCAGGGCCCTAGGTGGGAATTCCTGGAGGTTGGGGTGGAGCCGGGGTGGCAGAGGCCAGGATTAAAGGAGGCAGAGAAAGACTTGTCATCCTTAATGGACTCAGAAGCAGAGGACTGGGCTGAAGCATCCAAGGAATGCCCTGTCATCTTTTGCCCCCTCAGAGAAGAGCAGCCACTGCTGCTCCAGGACTCCTTGGGCAGGGGTAGGTACGGTCACGCAGACAAGAAATAATTTTTTCAAAATACTGTGTTTCTTAGTCATGGACAGGTTTTATTCTTCTGGATTTATATGATGCTATTAAATGCTGCCTGTTTTAAGCCTCTGTGATGGAACCATTGTTTTTTTTTAAATTAAAGCACCACTTAAAACAGAATGAACAAACAGACTGTATTTTTTAAAGAGGAAAATTTGCAACTAAAATGTTATTGGATTTTACTCAAATGATACCTTGTTTTGTTTAAGAGCTCCTTTCTCCTTCATGTGAGGGCAGTCTTTCCCAGTAACAACTGCTTTTATATCAGCAACAGGAACTGTATCAAAAGAGAGAGAGAGAAATAATAATGTGTAAGACAGTTGAATTTGCAAGGAGGAAAAAAATGGTTGTTTTAGATTTTTTTGGGCTGTTTGGCTGTGTTCTGGAGGTTTTTCTTCCTAATGTTTTGCCAGTCTCTGTGGCCGGCATCTTCAGAGGACAGGAGTTAGAACTCTGTGTTCAGGTGTAGTGTGGGGGGTGTTAACTATTCGTAGCTGTGGGATCAGCTTTTTGTCCTTTTCAGGATATCCCACAGTCGAGAAAGCCTTTGAGGGGGGGGGGGGGAGGGAATGTTATGGAAGACATAACTGACATGCTAAGATTTTCTCCATACATTAGTCTTCAAGATCTGAAAGTTTTTCTTGGGACTTTTATTCAAGACACATTTCTTTCTTTACTATGTTTTTTCATAAACTTTTTTGGGGGGTGTTTCCCCAGTACAGAAGACAGATCAAAAACCCAGAAAATTGCCATAGTTTATCAGGATGGTAATTATAATTGCCTTGCTTGGTACATAGACTTTCCTGACCATATATATAAGTGATATACATGTTTGTATCCACACCACCTCTGCATAGTTTCATCTTTCTGAATGTGAGGGCAATGGGGAAGATCCAAGCCTATCTACTAGCATGTTATACTGAATTTAATCACCTTTGCAAATTATCTGCTTTCCTGATTGCCACACTTAACCTGGACTGGACGAATGAATCATTTATGAATTGGAATAATGGGAGTTCTTTCAAGTCACCGATTAGCTACAAATGACTAATGGGGGTCTATGTCTGACAATGGTAGGCAACAAATCAATTCACATTTTTTTCGAGTGGACTAGCAATGTTTGTATCCTTCTTTACACACTCTGACACGGCTTTCCTCTTCAGAACAGTTAACATTCAGCAGTTTTCACCCCCAGTAGAGTGAAGCATACTCTTTGAGTCAGAGAATTCTGTTCTGGATTCAATATAACAACTCTGTCTGAAAGCCAAAAATCCAGCCTCACATTTTTCCAGCATGGATTTTACTGTAATTTGCACAGCATGCTTCCACACTTAATAAAGCCTGGGTCTGATGAGTTGAATTCAGCTACTGAACACATATTACAAAGACAGCCTCATGATCATCTTTCACTCCTCCCTGTCATTCTGCACAATTTCTCTCAAGAGGAGGAGTAAACAACTCATCCCGATACCAGCTTAGTGTGGTGATAAGAAACCCTGCCCTAGATTCTGATGAAGGATTGCAGAAAAAGACTGAAATAAGCTTAAGGCCACTCTAAGAAAGGAAAATGAGTGCCAGTGATTGCAAATTTGTGCCATGGAGAAGCTCTTTTCCATTCTGTACCTTTCACCCAACCAACTTAAAGGAAAACACCTACCATTCCCATTGGAGGACAAGTACATTTCACCTTTATTACTTTGAAATGTTATGGAGGTTTTTATTTTTTGTTCCTTTAAAAATGCTAATAAATAGGCAGTGCTTAGAACAGTAGACTAGATTCTAGCCAGCAGAATGAAGAGTTATCAGATACTATAAGCTATAGATATCAGATGGTGAATTACTTGTTGGAAAAACTGATTATGTTACTATATTTAAATACCACATTGCAATATTTTACATATATATACCACTTTCATGATTAAACTGCTTCACATACTGTATCTTAGCTGTCTTTCCAATAGCTCTATAAGGCGGATCTGTAGTATTTCTATGTTGCAACAGAAATAATTACAATCTTATAGACATCTGAGATATCAGTTTGACTTAGAATTATCTAGTAAGCCTAGGGCTAAAGCAGTGACGGGAACATATAGCACTGCAGTCCCCATCCAAGGCCAGGACTGACATGTCTAGGACTCATATAGAACAGTGGTTCCCAACCTTGGATCACCAGATGTTTTTGAATTAAAACTCCCAGAAGCCGTCACCACTAGCTGTGGTGGCCAGTATTTCTGGGAGTTTTGGTCCAACATCTGGAGACTCAAGGCTGGGAACCACTGATCTAGAAGACACACTTTCTCTGCCCCAATTCCAAAGTTCTATCTGAACCAAAGAACTCACAGCTCACCATTTAGCCACCACACTGCACCAACATTGAAATATCAATAATAAATGAGGAACTATTGAAAAAAGGATTACATATTTATTGCATTTACACCCAGATTTTCTGCCTCCTGCAAGAAACACTCAAGGCAGTCAATAGTGAGAAGACTAAGACAAAATTAAATTATAAACATGGATTAAAGTATGGCTAAGTACACATAAATAAAGAGCCTGGCTACTTAACTTTAGCTCCCCTGAGCAAAAGACCACCTTAGATGCCAAGGTCCTACCTTTTGTATGTTTGTTTGTAGTTTAAAGGCTTTCCTGACAGCAAAAGGATAGGGGAGGGGGGTAGGCTGGCTTGCCTTGGCAGAAAGTTCCAGAACTATCTTGGGAACATTTCTGCTTCAGAATCTTACACTTGAGCTTCTTGGGGCAATTCAAAGGTATTCGGAAAATGCTGTGACAGAAAAGTTTTTGCTGTTCACTTAAGCTTTCTTAACAGGCTGTAGCAAATAAAGCTTTTCCAGGAATAATCCAACTGCTGATTAGTAGTGACAAAATAACTACCTCCACTTACACTTTTCTGACCTGGTCACCCGCTACCCTCACATTTTCTAGGGGCTCCCAATTTAAAAGTGGGAGTCAGATGATGTAAAGTCCCTCTCTCAGCTTGCGGACGTCTGCTGCAACCAGAAACTAGATTACAGACTGGATATGTACTTCTACCAGAAGAGCTTCTGAGGCATGTAGATAAAACAAATTCATTGTGTAGAAATGTACAAGTGGATTTAAAAATACTCTGCTTATCTCTTGTGCACTCTATTGAGCACCCTGGTATCACTTAACAGTCAACATAAGACAGGATATATTACCTTTTTGGTCTATGACTCACAGACTCCCACAGCCACCAAGGCAGAGGCCAATGGGGGATTCTGTGAATGACAGCCATCAAAAAGTAAAATACCCACCTCTGCCTACTCTTCTGCTCCATCCCACCTACCTGCCTCCTCTACTTAAGATTTGGTGTGGTATATTCTCAATCCTCTTCAAAAACACTAAACATAAAATTGGAAACAGAGGAGTTGTGACATCTCAGGAACTTACGTTTATCTTGTAATGATTCATGTGGGACCTCTCCCTGGGGACTCTCTTCCAAATCTCCATAATGCAAGACTTTGTGGTTCGGTGACAGCCGGCAATACCAAAATTTGTCTGACAAAAATTTTAAAAAGTTGTTAAAATTATTGATCTGCCTCATAACAAAGAGAACCTAAGTCAGAAAGAACAAATTAGTACATTGCAAGGAAAAAAAGAGGATTTCTGAGCAGGTATTTTAACCCTCATTCAGTCTTCAAACTTTTCCTGAGATACCACATGAACACACAGCTCTGATCTCCTCTGTTTTCTTTTCCTACATATTTTAAGAGTTTCTCCGGAATTCCTATTTGATAATATTGTTTGTTTGCTGGCTCGGACTGCAAAAAGGATGAGGATACAAAGTCAATGCCAACCAATTCCCTTTTCAAATTGGAGAGACTGGGACTTTTCATTTCAAGGCCATCTTTATTTAATACACAATCCATAGAATGTGGATCTGTCAGACATGCAATATGGCTTCACCTAAACTATCTCTCTCCTTTCTTCCTCATCCGAAACAAGATCAGCTGATGGTGACTCAAACTGCACCAGCTGCCTGGTGTTTTGTCTCAAACAAGCCGTAGTAACCATAACTGGGGAAAATAGTTGTAGATTTTGGGGTGTTTCCTCAGGGTTCTGAGAAGCAGAATAAAACAAATATGATCTTGCATAATTCTGCCATCCATCTGTCACAACTCCCTCATTTCATTTATTTGAGACGTTTTTTAGATGGCTTGCTGTTTTTTCAGTTTATGGCAATCAGCAGCTTCACATACTGATTTGGTAAGTTTTTAAAAAATTACACTACATATTTTGTCAAGTCTCCACAAAATATGAAGAAATATTATGTGTGGGAAAACCCTTAAAAATTAGCTATGTGAAGCCTTCATGTGAAATGTCTGTTATGCAGTTACCACAAGGCAGAGAAAACACATCCATTAAGTAGACAGGTGTGCTAAAATAAAGACTGCAAAAAAGATTTTATTTCAGAGAGACTGTAGCAGATCCCTCTGGGTCAGGATAAACAGAAAACATGTAAATGGTTTTAATAGACAGTTGCACTAAAGGAAGTCAGTGAGAAACAGCAAGGGGATAGTCTGAGCAGCAGAATTAGAGAGGAATCTAAAACAGTGCCGATGGTTAAAATGCAAATTAATACCTGTCCTAAATCCCTGCAAAAAATACTCAGTCTAAAAGGAAGTGTTTGCCTTTTGACATAATCAAATGGGTAGTGCTAAGCAAATAATTTTTTTTACCAGCAGAGTCCTAGAGCATTGTTTAAAAAATCAAGAAAGACAGAGAAACAAAGGAATAACTGGACATCCTACTCAAGATTATCTGAAATAGTAAAGACTAGGAACTCATATTTTAGAATCTGAAAATAGATATTTGGGATATAATATTAAAAATTTGTTATCATATTTCTTCAGGAAGTCTGACACACACCAGCATTTGCTTCCCTTTTTTGAATAATCCCAAACTCATTAAAAAAATTACTGTGAACTATAGGTCTGAACAACACAGACCAGAACACATGTTTAGTTTGAAGCCAGAAACAGCAGTATTTATGCTGACACTCCCCAACGCAGCCTCTTTTTGAGATGCCTGTCATGTTTTGGGATTTCACCATAATCAATACATCTTTCCCTCTTCCATCACTCCATTTAATTGTGAAGGTGGTGGGAAAGAATATGATACAACTCTGCCATTTTGAACAATAGCTTTAAAATTCTATAACATTTAGATCCAGCTCCATGACACAGAGGAGCTGTATCACTTCAGAGCCTACAAGACATTGCTCTTGGTTCTGAAAGCATCCTAACAATGCAACAGGAAGGATTTTTCCTCAGTTGTCAGAAAGGAGAGAGGAAGTAAACAGGCAGGAAAAACAACCCTGGCTATTACCTTGCCGCCGTCGACTGTTGAGTTTTCTAAAGCATGTTCCTTCAACAAGGCGATTAAGGCGTTGCTGTTTAATCAACTCTAAAATTTCAGGTTGAATCTTTTCCTTTAGCTCCCTGGAGGAAATGGGGAATGGACCACACAATGAAGAAACATAAACTTAGACATATCTAGTTAGATGTTTTTTTAAAAAGGAAATGCATCAAATCTCACATTGTGTACACAGCTTCCTTCCACGTAGGTCTGGAGCTCCAGTTGTTCTTTTTATTTTAGGGAGTTTTTTCATGGGCTACACACTTCCACCTCTGGGCTGTGCACCCCCTATGCCAAATATTTTTCTTACACAAAGATTTTCAAAAGTGAAAATGCCCCTTGCACCCTCCAATGATCCAAAGTATACATTTTAAACAAATTAAAAAGGGTGTGGAGAACTCCATGAGTCTCCCCCCCCCCCCCCCAAATCTGGCAAAATTACCCCTTACCCTCTTAGGGAAATTTTTGAGCTATGTTTTCATTCAAAAGTTTTTTTTTTAAATTTTAAGGATCTGGGTGCTGGGGAGTCAGATGTTGTCAACCACTGGTCTAGCTCAACTGAGTAATTAACTGACAGATCAGATACTATAGGCACTTTATCTCTTAAATGTCAAATGTTAAAAAACTTAATATGGGCTATTGAATCTTGAGGAGCTACAGTATAGAACATAGTGGTGAACTACTGCTACTTAATGAGTGGATGTTTGTATTTCTCACTACTTATGAAATGTGTGGCTTGATGCATGACAAGGAATAATACAAGCATGGTCTCCTTAACTAGTGGCAATTCACTGCTGAGATTTACATTATTTGATCTATGCTGCTGTTCATAAGTTAACAGGATTCTGGTCACTACATTGCACTTCTTGTGGCAAAGTCTTGATCCTAAACACTGCATATTTAAGCATGGACAGAGCAATGATGTGTGGCCAACAATTAGGGGCCAAGGCTTTGGGTTTGTGAACCAGGCCAGTCTTCCCCAGTTTGAAGCCCTTCAAATTGATATGTTCCATCATCCCAACTTGCTGTGGTGGCTAGGTGTTGTAGTTTAATGTTTCTGTTTCTGGCTGCATTAGAGCCAAAGCCACAGAAATGAAACATTAACAAGGAAAATACATCTGTCTTGACATTTAAGAAACAAGCTCTTTTTTCATTCAGGGAACCCAAATCATGTCAGTACTGAAATTGTATTTTTATGATATAATTTATTCTGCAAAGAAATTGGCCCATGGCCACACACATTTATATTCTAATTAATTTCGATTTTTGTATTGATTAGTTTGCCCCGAGGAAGAACATTTACTGTATATTTTTTCTAAATTGCAAAATTTGGGTATTGTCCTGTCCATAGACCTGACTCATATCACTGGCTTTGCCTTTTTCCTCATTTTGTGGCAATACTATCAATACGAGAAATCAAAGATTGAAAAAAAGTAATTTTCTGAGAGTTACAATTTCCAGAATCTCCCAGAAAGCACAGGCAGTAAGTAGCCCTGTTGGCTGGAGATACTAATAGTCCAAAAGGTTAACCTTCCCAAGCTCTGCATGAAATGCACTCTCTGTTTTATCTCCGTTTGAATAGAAGAGACGATTGCCTTTGAAGCAATGCTGTGTGCCTAAAAATCGGCAGTCAGGTAGGCAGAGGTGGGTTGGATCCTTTGGTTCCCTTATGGGTTTCAAAAGACAGAGTTAAGGAAGAATGATGCCACTGCCGTGGACACATTGCTCCTGCCCTTGAACTTTAACTCCTTGAGTAGACTTGGTCCCTGGGCATGTTTCTCCCACAATAAAGCGGGATGAGCAACACATACACAGAGCAATGTGCTGCAACTACTGCCAACATTCTGCAACACGCTTGCATCTCTGTCCATATGCCTCTCAATATAGATTTTTGAAAAGAGTAATTCTGTGGTTTTTTGGACAAAACTATGGAGGCAGGCCTCTAGCGAACGTCACTACTATAAATATTCTCTTCAGAACAAACTCGTTTTGTCAATCAACTAAAGGACAAAATGTTAAAGTGCTTAAAGAAATCAGATGACAAAACCGCAGGTCTTTAAAAATCAGTTGGGTATTAATCACTTTCAGAGAAAACGCATGCCTATTCAGCATTCAAAGTCAATTTCATATTCTGTCACTGAGCTACACTGCTGGCTCAATCTATTAGTTTGCTGTGATACTTATGTTTCTTGACATACGTATTATGAAGATTACATTTCAGAATGAAGAACAGAAAATCTAGAAACGACAACTATTTAAGGGGCAAGATTCAGAAGCTTAGGTATCTGGCCGAGAAGCCAGGGGCTGGGAGTGCAATTCCCCACTGTGTCTCCAGGGAGAACACTCAGCCTGTGTGGCCCTGGGCAAGCTGCACAGTCCCAGGGACCCCCCCCCCCGAAGAACGGAATGGTAGACCACTTCTGAGTATTCCCAACCCTGAAAAGTCAGGGTTGCCCAAAGTCAGAATTGATTTGATGGCATGCAATTATTATAAATTATTATTACAAACTCAACTGAGCTCTGCTGTTACAAATTCTCTAAGATCTATTGTAGTGGCCATGCTGTTTTGGTTCAATTAGGAATATAGTCCTGAAAGAGGATTTAAATTGGACTGATAATCTCTGTCTCCAACAACAGACATCAGTGCAAGAGGAACACAGTGACTTAAAAGTAACTTCTCCCCACTTTGGGTCCCCCCTCCTCCCCGCAGCATCACACAGTGCAGAAATCCACTGTTTTTCCAGAGTGCTTGTGATGCTGTGTTTCTCCTGAAGGCTTTGTTTTGTCCGGTTCACTGATGGTGACATTTTGTTTTCTGCAAGGAAACCATGGAGGAAAGGCCACAATGACAAAGGGTGAAAATGTCAAAGCATCATTTGCTGCAAATAAATTATTGTGAGCCCTACAGGGATGAGAGGAATCTACTGTGGGTGAAGAAAAAGAGACTATTTTTCTCTGCAAAAAAAGCATGAATACATTTCAAGTAGGAGTGACTGGTTGACTTTGTGGCTTTCAAGTGATGGTCCTGTGCAGCTCTGGCTTGCCACGGTTATTTTTCAAACAACTAACAAATTATATTTACATTTGTTAGACCTTCTAAGAAGGATGAAGGGAGTGAAGAAAGTTATTTGCAGAACACCTACAAAATTGGACGAGACTGGAAATCTTCTTGGTTCATCCTCTCAGACTGGCGGATTTTCAATATTTCTGCGTAGCTGAGATTTTGAAGTTTACTCTTGAACTGATCCAGAGAACTAGGCTTTGTGGTCAGTGCTCTCATTATCTGCTCCTTCACCACTTGCATTACCTGTGAATGAAAGCAAAAATGAAAGCAAAAAAGTCTCAGTACTATCCAATCAGTTCTCCATTTGGATACTCATAATGCAACTTCCTTCCAGGAACAACCTTGCAACTACTCAGAAATACCAAAAGGTTAGAACTCTAATTTTGGTGTATAGGTCAGAACATTATGCATCTTAACTTCCTGTGCTTGGACATGGAAGATATATGATTTGTTGTAAAAACCACTCACTATACTTGATGCCTTTTGAGTTATGCTTTTGTACACCATTTTGAACAGTAAAGCAGTACATGGATAAGCCCTTGCTTGCCATATCCTCTGCATAATCATGTCTGCTGCAAGGGGTCTCCAACATCCCACCTTGACCCAGCCCTCATAAGAAACCAGGGTGGCACCTTTCCCAACTGAGAAGCTCCTACAGCTGGTTTTAGATAATGTCAAACTAAGGATGAGTCTATGCATGAAGCCACCACTCTGGTAAACAGTTCAATGTGACTGGCTTCCAAACAGCTGTGTGTACAGAAGTACAGCCTCAATCAGGTTTGGCCTAGAGTCCAGTAAGAAATTAATAATTGATCAGGATCTTTTTTATTTTAATTTCTGTGGAGACTTCAGTTAAAAATGTGGATAGCTTATTTAAAGAGCTCCTTTGTCAGCTTCCACTCATACTTCATTTTAAGAGTTTCACTAGGATTTGCCTCAACATTTTAAGGACTTGCTAGCAGGGTTATGATAGCTTTTCTTCCTCTGAGACTCCTAGTCGAAATGGATTTTCTCCCTTTAAGGCAGTAAAGAAAAATACACCTTCTAACACCCACTCTCCAGCACTTAAGCATATTTCTTCTACTCGTCTGATCTTTTCTGGATGTGACTGAAAAAGCAGCTCTCCAAGTTCTGACTGGAGTGCCCCGACCATTTTAGAGATTTACTCCACTGGGCAGAACTGATGTCAGTCAAGTACTCAGAGGAAAACAAGCATATTCTGTAATACACCAGTATATCAGTTGAAGCAGCACTACCTCTCCTTAATACAATTCTTATACAATGGGGACTGCCACTGCCACTGGTCTTTCCCATCTAAAACAGATGCACTAGGTACAGAACTATGGAGAACTTCCCATTCCTTTGCTCATCACCGTTGGTCTTACCACCTTCAGCACGGCCATCAAAAAAAGGACTGTTAACACAACTGGAAAATTCCCAAGGTCATAACTATGTTAATCTCTAGCAGTAAAACCAACAAAGCATCTGGACAACTGGGCTATAGCCCAAAAAAGGTCCTGTCAAATACAACTTGTTACTCTTTAAAATGTCCCAGAACTCTATGCTGTTTTCAGGACAAGTACTCAGAATGCAATAAACACATTCTGGGAGATGTCTGCATATCTGCTGAAGAAATATTACCTCTCCTTAACCCAATGTTTCTTATGCAATGGGTTTTGGCAATGCTACCAGAAAGAAATGCAACCCTCTCCTTGCTAATATACTGTAGGTCTGCAGGCCCCAAACAGTGGGAACACAAAGAGCCTGCATAGGTTTATTTTGTTGTCCTCTCTGTGTAAATTTCGCTTAAGTACCCAAGATCCCAACATTGCATAATGTAAGGAAAAGATGCTACTCAAATGGTATTTGCAGCTGTGACTTCAAACCTGGCAGTGTTGCAAAGTCATTTGCTTCCTCGCCTCAAAATAGAACAAGGCAAGAGCTACGCTGAGCACTGAATGTTTGGTTTAGCACAGAAAGAGAAAACCCACAGTGAAAGGCAGGGAAGGCACAAATGTATTTCATTGACAAGCACTGACTAGAGCATTAAAGCCTTTGGACTGGGATGTTATTCTTCCCATGCCTTTTCCTGGCTTACCCAGTCTCCATATAACTGTGCCCGTATGCATTCACTTCTGTTCAAGTCATACTATGTTGCCTGGAGCTCAAAAAAGCATGCACAAAAACCCTGCTTATGTGTATGTGTGTGCGCGCACACACATGCTCTAAGAAGATTGCTACACTGAGATTGCTCCTGAATGAGAGTCATGAAGAATTTAAACTAGATTTAAATTGTTCTGTTTTCTCTTTTCTGCCTTTTAGATTAAGCACACATTTCAGTATATGCTATTTACACGTTGCCTGTTAATTTAGTCCATTTTATAAACAAAAAGTAAATAAATGCATTCTATTTATTCCTCCAAGAAACAACCTTTGTATTCAAGTTTTGCTACAAAAAAGCTTATTGATTCTTTTTAAATAAAAAATTATTAAGGGGAAAAAAAAGAATTTAAACTAGATGAACGTAAGGAGAAATGGCCAGCTAAGAGCAGTAAATTTGCATAGCAATTCATTATGCAAAAGAAAAATTCTACAGAGGCACAGTTAATTAACATGATGTGCGATCTGTATTACGTGGTGGTGGTGGGGAATCAGTCCAAACAGCCATACTTCACATTTTGTTCAACTGTTGTCTTGCCTGGCAAAATTTAACACCTCAAGCATTTGCTTATTTACAAGCCTTCAACCATTCTGTCAGGTAAGAAAGTATTTTAAAACACCCCTTACAAATTTATTACTAAAAACAAAAAAATAAAAAAAAACCCTAAGTTGGAACTGGAAAGTACAAGAGCAAAGAGCATGCATTTGTTTTTGTTTACTGCAGACTAAGAATTACAAGCAACTTCCTTGGCACTGAAGCTCATTTTACAGAAATATCATGTACTGAGAGGCAACAGGACTGGTTCAAGATATAAAGGTTTCTAGAACGGAAAATGCCTTCCCCATCCCACATCAGTCAAGGTGCACAGGGCAAAGATCCAGCAAACTCGTTTTCCACATGGGTTCAAACTGCTCTCTACATCCCTGGCAGTAAAAGTAGAGAAATAACACATCAATTATCCAACAGTTTGTGGCCCACTTAAAACCTGTATCAATCTGCTTACATGTGGGGAGTTTATAGCATGGTTTATAAATTTTTATAGTTTGAATACTGTGGCAAGATGGAGCACAGGCAGTTAGGGACTATAATCCAAGATCTCTCGAAATAATATCAATCAGACTCTGTGGAAAACCTATCAACATAACCATCATTCATGTCTATGCTCCAACTACTAATGCTGAAGATGAAATTGAAAGCTTTAATGCAAACGTTGAAGAAGAAATTAATCACACACCAAAACAAGACCTGCTTATAATCAAAGGTGGCTGAAATGCAAAAGTAAGGAACAAAACACAACCAAATGCTGTTGGAAAATTTGGTCTAGGAGTTAGAAATGAAGGACAATGACTCATAGAGTTTTGCAAAACTATCTGTTTAGTTCAAACACATGCTTCAAACAACCAAACAGATGGCTTTACATGTGGACATAACCATATAGTCAATACAGAAACCAAATATACTATGTAACTGGAAGCAGGAGATAGAGAAGGTGTTTTCTCTCAGCCAAAACAAGACTAGGAGTGGTCCCCAACCGTTTCTGAACCGCGGACTGGTTGGGGGAGCGGTGTCTGTGCATGGGGGGTGGGGCACCTGTGTATGCATGGGGGGCATGCGTGCGTGGGGGGTGTACATGCATGGGGGGGGGAAGAAGATCTATCCCAGTGGCTCGTTCCTGGCAAGGCCATGGCCCAGTACCAGGTACTGATTGTGGTACTGATTATGAACAGTTAATATCCAAAATTAGAGCTAAGCTAAAAAAGAACACTAAAAGAATCGTAGTGGCAAAATATAATCTAAACAATATTCCTGATGAATTCAAAGTCCACATGAACAGATTTGTAGTACTAACAATGGGAATATTGTTTTTCCCATATACACCCTAGAAGGGAAGTTTCTAAGCAATTTTAAATAGTTCTAAATTGGGGAGGGGGGAGGTTGTGGAGAGGATAGGTGGAGTAGGGGCGCCAGGAGTCTTAAAAATGTAGAGTCCAAGATATCACAGTTCACATTCAATCCAGTTGTGTTCTATCCAGCACTTTGCTATATCTTACAGGCAAATCACTTGAGAGAATGAGGAACAGAATACTTCAAGTGCCATTGCTTTTCTGGACCATTTCCCCAGTAGTTACTGCATGCAGCCCCAAAATATAACCTGCTCCGAAAAGAGGAGAGCTGAGATCAATATTTTATACACTACTCCCGTGTCTTTACTAAAAGGCATTTATTATAGAATGTAGGATTATGAATGTCTAAAATAAGACCGATGCATTAAAATGGAAAAATCCTTTAAACAGTGATGTTATATGCCTTGTAGTAGACTAAATTAAGAGCCCATTTCAGTGATGAATTCTGAAATCCTGATTCTAATTTGGAGGGAATAGTATTTCTTATTAACATCCCTGTCAAAGAATCAAAAGCACTGTGGATCTCACCCTTTTAAAACCATTTCTCTTTTATTCCAAAATAGTAATCATGGCATTATTCCAATTCCAATGACCAGAAACAATCATTACCAGAAAAAATTGAAAAACTTTTTCTAAAGTTATTAAGCAGTGGAAGTTGTACTATAAACGTTTAGAATATAAATACAAAAAGACTCCAGAGAACCCTGGAATAAAAGAGTGTTACTTATCGCTTATTCAGGTACCAATGCTAGTCAGATAATTTTTTTTTCAGAACTCTGCAGCTTCATTGTTCCGCTCCTGCCTTTTTGGCAATAATTATACCATATCACTGAAGACAGACATTCCAATGAAGCTCAGTTTTTCCAATTAAGACTAATTTGTTCCTGACAACAACCTGCATTCATCTAGATGCTGACAACTTCTCATTAAGTGTGCTCCATTTTGACACCTGAGGGGGGAAAATCCATAATTTAAAAAGTACTGCATTTAAATCAGAAACTTCCTCCCAGCCCCGAATTTTTTCAAAGTTTTCTTCCTTGCTTTACTCTCTTTCTAGTGCAATAAACAATGAAAAGAAGTTACTAAAATCCATGTTACCCTTTATTGTTTTCAACTTTGGGAAGCCAGACACTGTTTCTAGACTCTCTTCAAAAATTCAAAAGTTCTTCTTTTCAAGA